GAGTCGCCGGTGGTCGCAGAGATTCTTGGTCGCCCCCGGCGGCGGCGAGGAAAGCGTCGACTGCAGGTCACTCCTGACCTTCTCCGCCCACACTGCCGGGTCAGAGTAGAAATCCGGATGTGACCTGTCCGGGAGGGGGAGGGGAACATCCGGGGGAATACGGAGAGAAATGCGTAAACCTTTTCGCTTCCACTATACTGCGTCAGGAATGTGTTGAGCAGGAAGAGGAAGCAGAAAATAAGAGCAAGCATTTCGCGAGAGAGAGAGAAAGAAGGAATCCATCTCAAGAATTTTGCGACGCCAACAAGTGCCTCGATGTGTGTAGAGGACACTGCTATAGTTGTCCAGTGCATGTACAGTATTAGCTAAAATACTCGAACTATTTCAGGTACAACTGTCAAATATCTCCGAGTCGTATTTCAAGAGACCAGCGAAAAAATTCGAGTGCGGGAGATTTCGAGTTGGGGAAATAAGCAAATTTGTTGAAAAAAAATTTCAAGAAATTGTAAACGGTGATATTCTAGAGTCTTTAACTTGCGTCTTAAATGAGTTGACAGAATGAAGAACTTGAAGGCAGGGATTATTCTTCCCAAATAGTCTTTCGCTTTCTTTTAAATCACATCCCCAGTTACCTTTTCCATTAATTTTCTATTACCTATGTAAAACAGGTAAAAGGTATAAGAAAATTCGAGTTACGGAGGTTCCACAAGAAAAGCCTCCAAGTTAAAGAGGCTTTTAGTGCATTGATTCTAAGGTAATTCAGACGAGGACTTAAACACTTCGACTTAGGGAGGTTTGATTTATCGATTTTCAACTAAACTAATAGAAACGATGACAAAATAATTCGAATATAAATTAATTCCAATTTATTAACAAAAACAAGGCCATGTTGTGAGCTTCTCTTTTCAGCAGTTCTCCCATCATCAGTTGCGTACAACCTACAGATTTAAGTGCTTGCATTTTTGCAATCTGTACTCATGTTCATGGCAACAGGTCAGATTCCTTGCAGTTTTTTTCGTCAATATAAAAGACAAGAAAAGGAATAATTATTGAGAGGACTTCTCCATTATTTTCCTAAGATGAAAATCAATTAAATCTGCATTTCGAGGTCCCCATTGTTCTTGGAATTTTATTCATAAGAACCACACAAAAAATATTCTGGTGCACATTATTTATTGGAGTCGCATGGCATCAATGAGATCGACCAGCAACTATAATTGTATACAGATTTTATACGAAACTCTTCAGGAAAAAGAAAACCTTTTACCATTGATCCCAGTCCAACTATAGGGATTGACAGTTGCGCCCTCGAGAATGAAGTCAAGCTCATACAGTACAAAATAGGAAGAC